GAAGTTTTGAGGAAGATGAGAGCTGACGAGCGTCTTGTGGAGATGGGCAATAACGTGAGGAGCATCAGGCGCACTCGTACTGGCGAGATGCTCCTGGTGCTCAAGCGTGGCGCTAAAGACCAGGGACCGACTTATCAGAAACTGGCAAACGAGGTCGTTGGTAATGGGATGCAGGTAAGATCGCTAGGCTCGACGATCACCATCCAGGTTAAGGACTTGAATGAAGTAACAGAGGCGACCGAACTAGCCAAGGCGCTCAGGGAGCAGTGCCAAATCGAGGTACCGCCAACAGCGGTTACCTTGAGGAAGAGACTGTTCTCCACCCAGGTGGCTACCGTCAAGCTCCCGGCAGCTGATGCCAGGAAGGCGGCAGCCAGAGGGAGGGTACGAGTGGGCTGGTCGGTTTGCCCAGTGAGCATTCCCCGACCGGTTATGGCTTGCTTCAGGTGCTTCGGTCAGGGCTATGTGGCTCGGGACTGTAAGAACACCGACAGAAGCAAGCTGTGCAGATGGTGTGGCTCGGAGGGCCATAAGGCGCAAGGTTGCCAAAAGCCGCCGAGATGCACTATATGCGCGGAGAAAGGGAAATCCCCTACCAACCACATGGCAGGTGGCCCACATTACCCGGGGGCCAAGAGCAATGCTGCCCCGGCCAAGAGCAATGCTCAGCCATGTTCGAGGTAGCGCAGTTGAACCTGAACCACTGCTCGGCTGCCCAGCAACTGTTGTGGCAATCGGCAGCTGAATGGGGAGTGGATGTCGCAATCATCTCCGACCCGTACCGTGTCCCATCCGGCAACGGGAATTGGGTCACGGACGCGTTGAGGATGGCGGCGATGGGGAGCTTCCCCGCTCAGGAGGTAGTCTCGTCCAACTCGAGCGGGGGATTCATGATCGCCAGGGTTAATGGAGTATATCTAAGTAGCTGTTATGCTCCGCCCAGGTGGTCCATCGAGCAGTTCTCGCAGATGGTGGACAGACTCACTGCGGTACTTGTCGGCCTAAGACCGGTGGTCATTGCGGGCGACTTTAACGCATGGGCGGTGGAGTGAGGCAGCCACCACACCAACCAGAGAGGATGCATTCTACTGGAGGCAATGGCCAAACTGGACTTTGTACTAGCCGACACCGGCTCGGTCAGTACCTACAGAAGGAATGGTGCAGAATCCGTCATTGATGTGACGTACTGCAGCCCGTGTTTGGAGGGCAACCTACACTGGAGGGTCGATCAGGATTGCACCGATAGTGACCATCAGGCGATTCGCTACAGCGTGGGGCTAAGTGAGAGACTACACCAACCCCGAATTCCCGGAGGGCTGTACAAGATTCTGGAAAGCTACTTCTAGAATCGTGTGTTGAAGTACGACACAGAAGATGGCGAAAAATGCGTTAAAGTCACCGCGGGAGTGCCACAAGGCTCCATCCCTCTATGACAAGTCGGTGGTACTTCAGCGGACAATTCAGCAAAAAAACTCCATCATCGCTGTGCCCCATCTTATCGGTCACTTTAGAACTGACGTTATGGAGCTATCGCTCTGAACAACACTGACCCTACTCTTACACAAACTGAATCAAATGTTACCAACCGGTGGTATATTGAATATTGATGTGAATTATATACTCTCACGCTTGATTTCCATCACTTATTTTTCGTAAGCGATCATTCAAACAAGCAAAGTTATATCACCATCGGACAGATGAGATAATCCGCCATCTATTGGTGATATTAATTTAAATGATTAAATTATTGTTAGCGAGATATTGACGATGGAAGTCAATATTACACAGTTACGTTATATAGATAATACCTGTAATACCTGTTATAATACCTGTAATATCATTGGACCACTTCTACGGCAATACCCGTAACATGTGTGGATGTAGTCGATGTACCATACTGAACACTAAATATAATCACTAATTATCTAGTTATCAAATTTTCCATGTGATTTTACGTTTCGGATGACGAGTTTTGGCTAATGTCATATTCTGATCACTCCTCCGGGGATACCCAGAACATGTGCGTGTGTGACCATTTTGTTCTGGAAAATATGTGATCAAACATTATCTTCTTTTTAAGTTTCATATGGTGCGATAGGTCGAATGATTAGTTTTTACTCAAATAAGATTCTGACCACGTCCTCGAAGGTATTCGGAACTTCTCGGGTGTGGTCTATAGGATCTGGCTTTCCTAATATTTTTTCAATTTAATAATAATAATGGATGACTTTTTTACCATTATATTGGCAACACTGCCAGCGATCTTTTGCAATATGTTTTGTGACTCACGTGGTTATTTAGCGGTTCAAGATGGCAATTTTGAATTAAACCTATGCAAGCTTGACCTCAGACTTTAAGATGCTCCGTGGACAGTGGTGGCAAATGTTCATTTTTCCAATCCCATCGTCCAGAGCGAAACAAAACAGTCAACACATGGGCGGTCAGGTTTATGTGCATTTCAAGCGAACGCAGGAGATAGAGAATAGGAAAAAAGTCGCAGCCCATTCTGTTTTAAATAGTTTATTGTAATTAAATTTTAGCTGCCAGCTTGCGTGTGAGATTAAATTATCAACTTCCTTTATTTTTCTAATGTTATTAACATAAACAATTTAGAATTGTCCATAATTCATGGGAGTCTTCGACTTTTTTTTTGAACATTATAAAGTGGATTTTTTTTAAAGTGAATCGAACATACCTGAAGTTCTTAAAGTTTTTCCTGGAGTTGCCCTGTGCAGTGTTCGGAGATGACAAAATCCCGAACTTAATTGAATTGATAACAAACTATTGATTTAATAAAAAAGAGTGCCTTAGAGGATTTTTTCACATACATATTTCCCACAATTTAAAAATTTCAAAAATTTATCATGGCCTACATTAAAAAAATATTGAACCCAACTTGTTCGCCTTAAGAGATTGCAGGGTATTTTCTTCGCCAAACTTATAGAACTACTCAAAATATGGAACTTTGATGATAGTACTAAATTTCTAAGTCTAGGAATTTTTTGGGTTGGAAAATTTCTCGACTTCATAGAAATATGATTGGACTTGCCACAAAATTATACCAATGCAAAAATGGTACAGGCATCGAAAGCTCTCAATTAATAACTGTGGAAGTGCATCTAGAACACTAAGTTGAGAGCACGCAATAAGCTAATATGCGATATGCAATAAGCTTGAAATGCGAAGAAGAAGAAGAAGAAGTAGGGCAGAAGGTGGTAAACTGGGACCCAATATCAACTATTAATTTTAAAGCTTTATTACAAAGTAGTAAAGGTTTGGTTAGCGCCAACTCATAAATCAGTTAATAGGGTCATGTTGAATGTTCACGTGTTTCACCATTTCCTTCAAACTCTTCTTGTAACTTACAAGTACAACATATCATTACAGCATCCAATGATTCGAAGTGAATGGATGCAACACTAGCTCCACTATCAATGTGGAGCAGAGCGGCAGGTAAGCGTCTATGATAAGCTCCTAACTTGGTATATGGAATAGATCGTTAGTTGGATGGAATAATGGATTGTCATCATCAATTAAATTGATCAAATAAATCAAGAGTTATTATTGAATTAATTCAAAAAGTCTTGGTAGAATGCCAAGGACGCTAATGAAATTCAGTTTTCATTACATTTGGGATTCCATCCAAGTTCATTTTTAACACGAAAAATCCTCCAAAGTTCAAACCGCCTCCGAGAAGCCCAAAATCCCGCCTGGCAGATGTACTTTCGTTGATAAATGGCCGGACATCAACAAAGTAAATGAAGGTGGGTTTAACTTTACGTTTTGTTTGCTCGAGCGAGGTCAATTCGGTAGGCAAGTTAAATAGAATACGACGGCTGCCATTTCCACCTCCAAATAACCGGCTCGAACAGCTTGAAAGTGCCATTACAGTCGTAATGAGCTTCTTTTGTGTGATTGTTGTCGAAATCCCAGAAAAAGGCTGGGGAAAAGCGAATTTGAAATGTAGCCAATGAATTTTGTTCCCGGAAAAGTCCCACAACTTCCAACAGGCTTACAACAACTATCAATTTACCGTATCGACTCGCTTGTTTGTAAACAAGCAAACTTTCCACCGGTTTAGAGCTTTGTCTTGTCTCTTTTTTGCCACCTCTGTGTGGCTCTGCTCCGACCGACCGACCGACCGCGGAGGAAAAGATAATTAATTATTATGACAAGAGATTACCACTTGTAATGAGTTTTGACCTGCCGCGGTTCTGGAAGCGGAGGAAACGATGGAGTGTGAACTTTGCGTCCTTGTCGTCCTCCTGCTAATGTCAACGATAATGGCATTGGTTTGCCCTGCCCTGTCCCTGCAGAAGGTCGTCATCGTCGGTCTTGACATGAAAGGCACATTGTACTTCCTCAACCACCACTGCCGAGCGGAAAATGCCGTAACAATAGACTTGTGGGAAATGATTCTTGGCAGATAGAGGTACCTACCTCCTCGCTTTTCCGAGCGCGTGAGGGTGTATTTAGAACTGAGACCCTGCCACCATTAAAAGAGATAACGGTTCTCTTTTGTTTTCCGCTTTGAAGCAGCAATGAACATTAGTTTTTTTTTCCTCTCATCGTTGAAGATCTGCTCCATTGTCGCAGGGGACTACGAGATAAGGCGTCCTTTTCTTGGAGTGAATTCAAGAGTTTGTGGTGATTCTTTTAATTAAGATATTTATCCTTTGGTATTACGTCCCCTTTCAAGTACTTTGATTCAATTACTCTCATGGGAATCGGGTGGGCACCATGGGCGGCTTCAGAACGATAGAAAAGGGGCATGATTCGAGTCAAAACCAAACAACTCAATGAAAAATTCATTCTAATCCCCCTAGATCCACCACTGGGTGGTCACATCACAAAGATTATTTTAGTTCGGAGGATTTCCGTAATCAACCATTCGCACTGGTTGAGCTCGTTTGTGTTGCCTCACTTCAATGGAAAACAGAACCAATAACACTCAACAAAAATAACGGACATCGTGATAAGTACACAATCAACGCTCAAAATTACTCGCAAAGGTCACTTTATTTTCACGAAACTCACTTTCTAATCAAGTCAATAGTATCAGCAATGTTTCCTTTTCTACTGTGTCCACAGGCAGCGACCAGCAGATGAATAGCTGCGTCCAAAGTTTTCTTAACGTCTTCCGGAGTGCCAACAGTCGGGTTGACTTCCACCAGATCCACGGCAGCCAGCCGACCGGTTTTGTATGCGTCTTCCATAATATAGATCCCCTCTCGGAGCGTCAATCCACCGCGGACACCGGTCCCCGTGCTGGGAGCCTCCAGCACATCCAACGAATCAATGTCATAGCTCACATGAAGACTCTTTTTCCCGTCGGGATCGATCCGCTCCAAGGCCATCTTCATAACGTCCTTGATTCCATACTTTTGCACTTCTCGCATCCCGAAGGCATGGATTCCGAACTTTTCGATGATTACCCGCTCATACGGATCTACCGAGCGCAATCCAATGTACACCATATTCTTGATCGAAATGATCGGCTCCTGCCAGTCCATCCCCGGAATGTACGGCCAATAGTCCGCCAGCTCCTTGGCCAAAAGTGCCACAGGCATTCCATGTATATTACCCGACGGAGACGTTGAGTTCGTGTTCAAATCGGCATGCGCATCAACCCAAATGACACCGACATCGCTGCAGTGCTTCAGATGGCCATCGATCGAACCGATCGCAATGGCATGATCACCTCCCAGCGTCAAACACAATCGATCGTCATTCAACACCTGAGTCACCCGATGCGAAAGCAGCTTCGTACAGCTCGCCACGTGCTCCAGCTTCTTCATGTTCGTCGCCATCCGTCCGGGCAGGTTCAGCGCTTCATACTGAATATCTCCGTAATCGCGAATGTCCAGCTTGTGGGAGATTTCCTGAATACTGTCGATCAGTCCGGCTTCGCGGATCGCTTTCGGTCCCAATCCGACACCCTTCTTGCGTTGACCCTTCTCGAAGGGCACTCCGACGATGCCGATCTTCTCGTAGTTGATGGTGCTAAACCTATCCAATCCATCGGTGGACAGATTCCGGCTACCGATCCTTAGCAAGTTTACGAGATGCTTCCTGAACAGCATGGTGATGTGAATGCAACGCCGTCCGGATGCTAACTAAGTTGAGCGACAGTGAAGGAAAACGATTCCAGCAAACACCGAGATAACCTTTTACCACCCGGTAAAGACTTTGATTTTCGGTGTTTTGGTGAAGCAGCGCAGCTTATCGCATCCGAGCACGTGTTACGTCACATTGGTTTTCGCTTTATTTCAGCTGACGATGCTGAAAGTGAAATCGATGACGCTGTGGTAGGCAGTGCTGCATGATCTTCACAGCAGGATCGTTTGTTATCAGTAATTTGGCTGGAATTCATGGACTCACTACAGATGGATGATGGATGAACGGAAGAAATTAATGAATGGTTCAAACAAGATCGAAGGATTTGTTTTGTGGTAGGGGAAATGGATGTAATGTCGGCCTAAATGCCCCTAATTTGGGCCCATACATAAATTCAGCAATCGACTAAATTTTCAATAGCGACCAAAAATATCCATTAGTACCGTGCCATCTAGAAAATATTGATAAAGAGCAGATTGAAATGACCGTTAGCTTTACAGTTTTTTTTTTAACTAGTTCGTTTATTTACTAGGCTCAGTCGTGTGTGACACTTTGCGGAGCCAAAATCAGTAATGTTTGGTTTACATTTTAAATAGCAGTATTTCTAGGTTAGTATTGGCTACCAATTACTCGTGGCGGGCTCGAGGTTAATAGGTAACAATTTCAATTGGAAGGATCTAGGTAGGAAACTGGTTTCTGAAGCCTCCTTCAGATACTACTCTCGGACGGTTGACCAAATCCTGGCTGGGCAGGGGCAAGTAGCACAGGAACAGGAGGATAATAAGGCTGGGACACAATGGCGGGAAATTGTTTGGAAAGGAGGGGATAGTCACATCAAACTCTAACATCAGACAAACAAAGGAATTCGTAGATCGCTTGCATGTAGGGAAGATCACGAGCTTTACAGTTCATCTTGGTTAATACGAACTGTTGTTTTAAAGCTCATAAAAATTTGTACAAACAAATTTTTTTTTGTATTTATGTTTATACTGGACATATCTAGATTAACATTTCAAGAGGTCCTGTTTGCATGTATCTATTAATTTTATGATTCATTCGATATTATAATTGAGTAACTACAGTTTTGCAAACATGCTTCATCCTATTTGAGCTGAAGTGGTTTAAAGAAAAAAAAATGCAATCTTCGTATTTTTCTTCTTTGGCTATTATGCTTCAACTAGAACTTTACGCATGCTCTCAACTGAGGGGATTAGAGGCAAATTTTAGTCTTTCGTTAATAACTCAGCGGCAAACATATTCCTTGATGCGGTTGCTATCTTGCACGATAGATTATAACCTCCTTTATCAAACTATGTAGCGTAAATGGTGTGAAATTGGTTGGTAAAGCCGTGATTATCAAAAGAGAAATTCTATAAAGAGAATCAATCAAAATCACTTGTACTTTTGAGGTCTTACACTGTTGTTAAGGGAGATTTCTTAGGCTGCACCATTTTTGCATTCGTATATTGTGTGGTAAGCACAATCATACCCTCATCCGACCCGAAAATTCTTTGACTGAACCGGAATGAGAACACAGCCATCTCCAGCATGGTCTTAATTTTAGGTGTGCTACTTTTCCCACAAATCTAAGGAAGTCTCTAAAAGATGTATTGTAATACATATCTACCACATATAATCATAATCACAGCAGTGAAAGTTTTTGCAACGATTTAAAAAAAAATTGTGAATTTTTTGATTGAGCAATATCTTGAAATATTGACCATATCTCAAATTAGTGGCTTCAATAAAGTTGTTCTCAAGATCATGACCTTTCATGTGCTAGACAAATAATTTCAAAATGTTCTCACTATGTGGCATAAGTAATAGTAAGGTCTTCCGTTAGCTATATTTTGAAAATTATCTAGAAAGATCACGATTTAAGTTTGAATATTTCCGGAACAGGAACAACAAGAAGTGATCAGAAATCGATATTTGATACCGTTTTTGAATAAAGTAACAGTTGTTAAGAAATTTGAGAAGCCAATCAATAGAAGACACATGGTTCCTACGAGTTTCCGGATTCCTTGGGTCATTAACTTGAAACTTTACTATCCCTAGTCCGATTAATCATGTTTCACTATGTTCTATGCGTCCCGTGATATTTCTTGGCCCATTTATTTGGAAAAAACAAAAGTTTTTTGTTTGTGATGATGAAACGACGAAAGCGCTTTTTTAAACTAAAACTCAAACATAAATTGGGCAAAACTCTCACCACTCCCACGCAAACCAACACCACCATCAGAGAGCTGGTGTTAGTTTACGTGGAAGTACTGAGAGTTTCATCAAAGCAAAGTTTGTTTTTTTTTATATAAAAATACATTCATAGCTATGAAAAATCAACCTTGATTTAATGTTAAAGTGCATTTAACAAGGCGTTTGTGCTCAGCTTACTTTTTAATTTATAATTATTAATGATAAGTATCTTCTGGCTACCACTCAAACCTATAATTAGATTGCATATTGAAACATATGTTTGTTATTTACAAAAGAAAGTAATAAATGTTTAGAACCGAGTCTAGGATCATTTTCTTTTTGCAGCTAGATTTTTGTTTTCATAGAGATTACTGACGTTTGGCGTACGCACTCTACGGCACGTATACGTGTACGTAAAATGTTTTCATCATGAAAAAACACTTCATAGCGGAAAATATTCCTGATGAAAACAAATCACTGACACAATCATACTTTAGCATACATCTTTATTGCTTTCTTTTCGTCGATTGACTTTCAGCTACAGGATCAGGAACCAAAACTATATGCCCAGATATTTGTGTTCTTGCAGCAAACCAGAGTAATCCAGAGTAATTATGAGTAACTCTGAGTACAAGAGGTACTCCAATGAAAGCTGACTTTTCCTCGGTAAGATCCATTAAAAATTTTACACGGAAATAAGAAATTGTCAAACCATAAAATTTTGTATCGATCGTCACAGACCAGATATTATTTCATTTTTTTTTTATAAAACCGGTTTAATGCAACCAAGCTGTACTTGTATCCAGTGCTGCAAAATCTCGACAGTTCACGAACATGTGCAGATTTATTTATTAGCTAAATTTTCAACGAAATTAAATGACTTGAGCAAAACAATTACATGGATCCATTTTAGTGAATAAGTATCTACGTCCTGAGCTACTTGGATAACAATAATGTGACACAGAATGTACTAAATTAAACTTTTTGTTACCTGGCGAATCTTTGTCATTGACGAAAAAATGAATGAGATTTTAACAAAGGTTTTTTTGAGGATCAAGTCTGTCAGTGACTATGTGACGAACAATTTAGTCAATATCGCGCGAAAGTCTGTCAGTGACAATGACAAATCTCAGCACTGCTTGTATCTGTCATTGAAACTGGTATAATGCTACATTAATTTTATTTTCCCTTATTTTGATTTTCTTTTAGAACTCCTGCGAAAATGGATTAAAAGACTTACACTGTACACCTTTAAACTACCCATAATTCTGGATCAACAATAAAAAAGAGCCCATCAGCATTTGTAAACCAACCATTCCAAAGCCCATTCCTCACAAATCGAAGGCTGCTCACACAAATCAACACCATCATCGTGTAGGTGGAAGTTTCCCCTATCCGATGATGGTGTTGGTTTGCGTGGGTGGCCTTCGCTTTGTGAGTAAAGGGCTTTGGAACGGTTTGTTTACAAATGCTGTTGGGCCCTTTTCTATTGTTGATCCAGAATTGCATATCTTTCCCATATGGATATTTTAACATGATTCACGGCCAGCCGTATTTTTGTATTGCTGCATGATTTTTTCGTGAGAAATTAAATTTAAATATGAAATAATGAATAATGTGAAGCGGAATTGTAAAAATTGTGTAGTGGAATTGTTTAATTAAATTAAATTAAATTAAATTTTCAAATTGTGGTGAAAACTTGGGAATGCAAGACTCGCAAAGCGATCCTGCAATCTCATTCTAAGCGACAGGTAGGCTCCACGTTCCCGACTAGTTACTACATAATTTCACTGCTGTTAACAATGGTCAGCGTTGAACAAATTCTACTTTCGTACCCGTAGATACAAACAGCTCACAAATTCAGCAAGTAAATGGAGCTAACTATGCTGGTAGAAATCGAAATCAAGATTCTAACGGAAATTTAAATGATTTTGACTTAGAAAGCATCATTGATACTAAAATTGATTTTTAACAGTAATCATTAATCGAGATGATTAATGATATGCTGAAAACAAGCTCTATGTTTGATGCCATTCAAACTGGAGTTAAGTTTGCGATCAATATAGCCATGAGTTCTTTCTTCGTTAGAAACCAAAGTTTTACAAACTAATGCTTGATAAACTACCGTTATTATGCTTGGTAAGCTACCGAAAATTAATGTTGGACACCCACTTGGAAAATTCGACGTGATCAGGTTCAAAAATCGCAAAATCGTTGAAATTGGCTAAATCGACCGTGTGCAGTGTTCTCAAACGTTTCCGTGAGTGGCATACTATTGATCGACAGGATCATATCAAGCGTCGTAGTGGAACTGAGGATCGGAAGCTGTTGAGAAGTGTTAGGGCAAACCCAGGGCTGTCGGATTATGATATCGTCAAGAAATTCAATTATAGCCAAAGCACCGTCAGAAGAATTCGTCAGTGAGAACGATTTCGATGTTTTCGGGCCAGTAAGCAACCAAACAGGACACTGAAGCAAAATCTAGTGGCATGGTGCCTATTATTCATTTTGGCTAAAAAAAATGTTTTATGAAATTAATAATAAGATATTATGGTGATATTTTGAATGTGTAAGTACCAAGAAAAGATTGTAAAGTTTTTGTTTAACACATAATACCTGCAAATTTAGCTTTGACAGAGTCACAATGAGTGATTTTTTGATCGCCTCAGCGCGAAGAATGATGAGCGAAGAGTGGTTGAGATAAATGACAAAATCGCTTATTGCAACTCTTATGTAGCAAAATTGGCAGGTATTATGTGTTAAACACAAACATCACAATCTTTTCTCGTTGCTTACACAAA